CTCGCCCTCTGTGACACGGACACGGAGGTCCGGCGGGGTCCCAGTGCCTCGGGGCAGGACCCAGACCCCCACCCACCCCAGGAGGCACCGCTGCGGCGGGGCTGGCACCGGCAGTGCTCGGGGAAGGGGTGAGGTTGGGTCGGGAGGGTGTTGGGGAGAGCCGGCGCCGGCATCCAGAGGAGGAGAGATGTCCCCAGGGCTGTGCCAGCTCAGCCTGTGTCCTGGCAGCGCTCGGCCAGCTCCATCCCATGGGAGCAGGAGGATACCATGGGGTTGCACCGGGGCAGGATGTGGCCCCTGGAAACCCCACTGAGAGCCAAGGCAGAGGCACTGGGGCCACCGTCCCGCCGCCAGGCATGTGACGTGCCCAGCGCTCGCCCTCTCTCGCACCGCTGCAGCCCCTGCGCCTGTGCAGCAGGCCACGCCGCGGGCCTGCCGGCGGTTCAAGTCTCCGCAAACCTATTTCAGACCTTTAAAAATACAGAGCAATTCGTATTGAGGTTATACTGAACGCTAGAGCTTCCCACGGAAGTACTTTATCATGTTCAAAAATATTTAATCCCAGCAATTTTCACATTGTTCTTATAAAAACAGACATGTATGAAGGGAAATGAAATGCTTAGTACATTTTTGGCACATTTTTTTTCTTTTTTTTTTTCTCTTTTTTTTTTTTTTAACTTTTACAAATTGCAAACACACATTCATTGTTTTTAAAGGAAAAAAACTAAGTCTCAGCTGTACACTGCAGAGACGCACTAACCATCCCAAAACTAAACCAGCCTCCCGTGGTTACAATTGCCGTTCTACAAGGACAAAAGAAAGACACCAGCAGCCAAAGACATGTCGGCGGCTTCACTGCCCTCCCCAGGGCCTGGCTGGGGTGCCGGCGGTGTGGAGGGCCGGGGGAGAAGATGGCCCTTTTGGGGGTCTGTGTCCCTGCAGATGGGGGACAGCCCTGCCAGCGCCCGGCTCCGGCAGAGGTGAAGGCAGCGAAGGAGCTCAAGGGATGCTGAGGCTCGAACTGGGGTTCGCCTGGGGTGGGACCAGCTTCGATGGGCTGATTTCTGCCTGATTTTGCTCCCACGCTGGAGCCACGGCCACGCTGCCTGCCTGCCTTTCCTGCCCCAACACACCTCCACCTCCATCCCCTGCCCCTGTGCATCCCCTGCCCAGCTGCAAGCCCCAGCAGGATGCCAGCCCCGGGGGGCTCCGGGTGGGAGCTGCGGTCCCCGGGGGGGGTCTGGCAGGAGGAACCGGCTGGGCTGCGCGTCCCCAACTCTCCCCGGTGCTGTGCCCAGGGTGCTGTGCACCGGGGTGAGCAGCGGACCCTCCTGCAGCGAAGGGGAGCTCGGCAGCTGGCGGGAGTGGTGGCAGGGAGCCCAGTCCATCCTGCTTACCCTGAGATGCTACTGGGGGACAAGGGGAGACCTCTGGCTGTTAGCAGGACTGGGTTTTTCCTGGCAAGGGTCACGGTAAGCGTTAACGAAAAGAGGAACGACCGGTGTGAGCAAAGGGGCGCCGACCGCTCCGCTCCCAGTGCCCGGGGAGGTTTCCCACGGCTCCCACGGCAGCGGGCTGCTGGGGGGTCGCTGGTTAATGCTTCTCCGTAGCGCTGCGAGTCCCGGTTTGCTGCTTCTCCAGCAACCAAAGCAAAGCGGGGAAACGAAAGCGGCATGTACCTTGTGCGTGCCGGGCTGTCCCCTGCTCCCCGGGCACGGCCACAGCGGGGCTCTGCACCGGCCGGCAGCTTTCCTGAGCCGTGCTCCGCTTCCCTGCGG